TGCTCTCCATACTGGAAAGTTGGTCTTAAGTTATGACTCCTCCCCTCAGGAGCAACGACTTGGGGGGCTCATGTTCTGGACTGAGCCTGCACTTGGCTCAAACATCATACAAGGTCAATCCAACTAGGCTGCAGGAGAAGACCAGCAGGAGAGTGTCTGCTCTTGACCATGTCAGGAAGTGATTTCACTCATCTCGTCGACCAGGATATATCCTCCGGGGACAATCTCACCACATGACTGGCGAGGAGGACCAACAACACTCAGGAGGTACTCGCGAGCACCCTCCTCGTAGGGCAGACATCCAACGCCTCTGAATATCACGAAGTTCTTTTGACTCCGAAAAGACCGCATCCACGTCCTCCTGATAATTTGGAGGAGTCCATTCAGGTTGGAGACCACGTGCTGACCTCCACTACATACGTAGAACCCGACATTCTCCATTTTGGGCCTGCTTGGCCAGCTCAACATGGAGATCTTAGCCCAGCGTTGGGGGCTATAAATACCCTCTCACTTGAGAGGGTCAGATATTCATTCATTCATCCATACTCTCACATTCTACTCACACTTACTCTGAACCTTACTTGACATCTGAGTGTCTTGTAGGTACCCCTCCCCTCCACTTCACACTCAACCGCTGTTCGATTTGAAGCTTGTGAGCCTTGACGATCTCTTCTGATCAGGTACGATCAAATTCTATTTAGGATTTGATTATATTTTAGTTTTGTTTCTGTTTTAGATTAAAAGATTTTATTTCGTTTTAGATTAAAAGATTTGATTCTGTTTTAGATTAAAAATCTATTAGAGTCTCTTTAAACCCATTAGAGTTATTTTGTTTTATATATTTAACGTGAACATAAAAATATTATCTTTTATATAATAAAATTAAAAGTTTTCTTTATTCTTGATGGACTCCAAAACTTATCCGATAGATTTTGCACTTACAATTCTATGTTTTTCTTCTAGATTTAACATTTGTTATTTCATAGAATTTATGATCAAGTATGCAAAGTGTGTTATGTGCTTACGCTACTGTAGTGTGTGTTTATGCAGTATGAAAAGTGTATTTGTGATGTTGCAGTATGTGTAGAGTTATTTTTATGCTTATGCAATATATACAACGTTATGTTTGAGGATATGGAGAGTTGTGTCATGTGCTGTAACGTTATGTGTTGTTATGATATATATGTAGTATGTATAATACGTGTTATATGCTGGTTGTTTATATTATGTAGTGTGTTTGTTCATGCAAGAAAACAACTTTTATGATATATGGGAGTCATTCACTTTAAAAATAATCTTACATAAAATGGTGGGACCCACACATAATTCAATCAACCAAAAAGTGAGTGTTAAAAAAAATATTGAAAAAAGAATTTTGTTAGCATTTTTAAATAATAAAATAATAAAATATCCAAAATTACAATAAAATAACATTAGTTTAAGAAGGTTGTTATGATCAATAAAATGATCAAACCCCTCTTCTTCTTCAAAACATTAACCTTCTTTAACAGTAAATTAATCATTTCCTTTGTACAATATATCATCTTCTCATCACATTAATAAAAAAGACACATTCTTTTATTTCTTATAACTGAGCAATATAATTAGAAACTCAATAAACACAACCTATAAATTAGAGACGGGCAAGATGAACAACTGCGTGAAAATAATAATAAAAATAAATATATATCATGCATATTCATAATTATAGAATCTCTAATCACAATTACTAGATGTCCATATTATCATCAACGATGAATCTAAACCCTAATAATATTGTATTATTCTCGTCTAAGAATTAAAAAAGTTATTAAGAATGATAATGATTTTAGGTTAAAATAAAAGGATTGAATGAAAAAAGTGAAGAAATTTACGTAGAGATGATTTTTGGGGTTTATTTTTTTTTCGTATATAAAATTCCTTTAATTTTGAGGAATAAAAATTATATTGGAAGAGAAATTTGAAGAGCATAAATAAATTGTTTAATATAATATATGTTGTTATAATACTTTAAAAATTAAAAATATGTTAATGATAATTTTTTTAACTTTTTTTTATATAATTCTTTTAAAAAATATTAAATTTTGTTTAAATTTTTTCTTCAAATTCTTTCTCCCATCCCATCTCTTCCCCTCCTCTCCTATATTGCAAACAAAAACTTAATCTTGCATTAAAAAGTGACATTGACACAAAAGCTTCAATGTATAACTTCTAAATTTTCACATAAAAATGAAATTTCATTCCAAACCAAACATACACTTAAAAATTGAGCTTTTAGGCTCAAAATCATGATCCACTTCTTATAATAGTTACCGTACGTTTTTTTTCTTACAAAATTATAGAGATGTTTTCTTTTTCTTCTTCTTCTTATTTTTATTTTGTTTAGTTTTTATTTTAGTTTGTATTAATTTTATTTTTTTATTTTTATTTTTATTTTTACAAGAGTAAATTAAAAAGATAAAATTATTTATTTACAGATTTTTTTTTGAATTATTAATCTTTTTAAACGTTGATATAGCATTTTGTAAGTTTTATCATGAATAAAAGAAAAAAGGAACGTACACAATCACCATAGACTAACATTACACTTATATCTAATAAGAATCGAATTGTGTAGTGTTATTTTGAATAATTATAATATATAATATGATGCATTCTTTTTAAACGATGGTATAAATTAAATTCTAAATAACTATGAAGTAATTTTAAACCCACGTTTTGTGTAAAATTTATTTTTTCTTTTTAAAAAAATTTTAAAAAATTGTATTCCATTATGTGGTGGAGCTAGAGTAGTTTAAATGATGAATTTAATTGAGTTTTATGAACTTGTATAACTATATTTTTAGATATATAGTATTTGAATTTTTTTTTGTTTTAATTTTTTAACTCCTCGTTCGAATGATTTTTTTTTTTTAATATTGTTATCGTCGGAAATTAGATCCTCTCCTATTACATTTTGGTTCAATGAAATCTCTATCTTATATTCAAAAATATAAAATATAAAAAAAATATGAAAAAATCGTGATTTAAATATTAAATTCTTAACTGTTTCACTTCCGATAAAATTCATAATAGAGAGAATTCATTTTCGTTATTGCCATATATCAGTCACTAATTCCACTATAAACTCTTATGATCTTCTTTTGATTAGACAAATAAATAATTTAAAATCTTACATTTTAAATTTTTTAAAATTTTTTTATCTTATATATTTGAGGTAATTAAGAAGAAAAATACATGAATAATTAATATTGAGTTAATTTCAAGTTCAAGATTTTTCAAATTTCTCTTATTATTATATTCGACATCAAACATGATTTCATGCAATAAAATGAAAGAAGATGCAAACTTTAATATTAATAGAGAAAACTTTTAATATGTTCATAAGTTATTCCTAAATATGCTACCACACATTGATATTCTACGATTTTCTCTTGAAACTCAATCAATATTACACTTAATTCAATTATGAGTAGAAAAACACCAATTAACTTCTGATTCCAAGTGAGACAGGAGATCAACATTAAATATTAGAACCTTTAATAATGGTAAATTTATGAATTGAAGAATACACGTGAGACTTAAAAGAAATATATGTCATATAAATCAATTGAACCAATTGTTAACATAAAGAATTTTCTATCAAAGCCAAATTTATCATTTTGAAACGTCATATAATTTCTTATTTGCCAAGTTTTTCAAAGAGTTATTATGACGAGAGTTATGATCAGATTCTTAATTTGAGAAATTTCTACCCACAATGTTGAATAAACTTTCAGAGTTATTCTTATTAATTTTCATACCAAACAATCGTTCTATCCATAATCAGAAAAGTAAGGTATGTAAGGATGATAAATTAACTCTATCCAAAAAGACTCAATGTGATCCCTCTTAATTCATTTGTAAGCATTAAAAGATTGACCACCATTTATAGATTATGTCTAAACGAGTTCATGAACAGTAGTATTATCAAATGACAAATTGTTCTTCAAAATGCCTTTAGCAATTTGAGAAGTTAAAATGAATAAGTCATGATGATTGTTTCATTTGATCTCTTAGATAATTGAATTGATTTTATCAGTTTGTATACATTGAATGTTCACTAACAAAAATGGGTGTAAATTTTTAATTTTTATCCCAACCAAATGTTAACCCATGAATGAATGTCATTCTCATTACCAATTAATTTTCAACTATTTTTCTCTAGAAAAGAAAAAAAATACTTAATGTCAGACGATATCAAAGAAGAAATATAATGTGCGATAGTATAATTTAGGTTTAAAAATCTTTTTTGATTTCGTATGTTAATCTTAAAGTTCAATTTGACCACTTAAGTTAAAAACGGTCCATATTAATACATTAACTCTTCAAAACGTATTATTTTAATTATTTTTGTCATATTAACAACAAATTTAACGAATTTTACCGTCTCTAATTAAAAAAAAAACACAAAGATGATACATTTTAAAGAATTAAAAGATTAATATACATATTTTTTAAAAAAATTAAGAGACAAAAATAAATCTCTAAAATTGACATTTGAGACCAAAAAATATTAAACCACCAATATATTTTTACTTGTCACATTTTATAAAAAAATATTTTTATTAATTTGTTGTTTATAAAATTTAAAGCAAAGTAATGATATTAATTATTTATAAAAAATAAAAATATGAGAAATAAAATAATAGATAATTAAAAAATTATAGTAAAATATAATTGTATTAAAAAATGTAAAAATAAACCAATGAAATAAATAGTTGATTTTTATTAATATTCTTAAGTACCCATAATAAGTATTTATAAATTTTAAAATAAATAAAAATAAGAAATGACATGGAATTAAATTACTCCATTTTGTTTCCATTGATAAAAAAGGCAATATGTGTGGTCACGCGCTCTATGGCGTGTTACCATACCATAACAGCAATTTCAGTCTTAGCGGTAAGAGGAAGAGTAGTGGCTATCCATGGTTCCCATTTCAAACACAATCCTATCAAATGGTTTTATCTCTAAACCCTATCATCACCTTCACCTCAACAACGGTAATTTTCTCTAATCACTTTCTTTTTCAATCCTCTTACTCTTTAGTTTCTTCCACATATTGTTATACATTGAAGCTATTATAAGTAGATTATGTTTAAGTTATGAAAATCGATTGTGAAAAATAATTGCTACTGTTAGACTTTGAAGTTGTGGAAAAAGCTTAAATATAATTGATTCTTGCAACTGCATACAGAACTTTTTAGGTTCATGTTTTGTCAAAATCGGTTTTCTATGTCTATTTTGGGATTATTCTAGAAAATTAAAATTAAAGTACCTTTTAATATGTAATATTGTGTTTAACATCACATCATTAACTTTCATTTTTTATATCACTCACACAACTCTTTCATTCTCCATTAGAAGTTGGAAACGAAGAATCATGATTCATCCAGGTATTCTGTTGGAGCATCCTTACCCTTTTTTGTAACGTCTAGACCGAGAATGTTTGTCAAGGAGAAAAGATTCGGGCGCTGTTTTTCAGTTACAAATAGTGATCAACTTTCAGCAAATGCGAGTAATAAGGATATTGGCAGTGCTGCGAATGATCAGTTACCGTCCACGAATCCTCCGGTTGAGTCAGAATCACAGACACCAGAGGGTTCCAATGGGTCTGCAGCGTCTCCTAATTCACCATCTGTAACCACACGATCGTCTCAGAAAGTGAGAGAGAGGATAAAGGCGGCTCGGGTTCTCAACCAGTCCAAGGAACCGAAAGCATCTAAGTCGGATATGGGCAGTAGTGTTTTGGCTGCATTTAGAGAGAGCGATAAAGGGAAGAAGAAGAGAAGATCTGGACTTCCAGAAGCCCCTGGTAATTTGTTTGACGATAGCAAACGAGGGATGCCGAAGCCAGGTTTGACTTTTGATTTTCCCGGCGGTTCTGATCTGTTTCTGATTATCTTTTCGTTTGTTTTTATCAGCACAGTGATGTTTGGAACAACTTTCATTGTGTGGAAACTTGGTGCAATCCATTTTAATGACTACTAAGATGAGATTTCAAAGATTCACACTTCACCAGATATATAGAATAGCTTATTTATAATATTTTGACAAGCTTCAGCTTCTTTAAACTTCATAAACTGCTGTTGATATTCAGTTTACTGTGTTTTTGGTGCTCAGCTTTTTCTATTTTCTCTATTATTTTTGTTATTATTTCATATGGTGGAGAAATTTAATTCAGAGGGGATGCCCAAGTGAATATGATATATAATGCTAATATTTATACATATACACCCTGTAGTTGTTTAGTTAAAACCTTCATTTAATAGGTGATTAATTTATCCTACCAAAGTATAAAGTAAGTGAAGCAGAGATGAGGATGATGCGTTGGATGTGTGGTAAGACTAAACATAATAAGATTAGAAATGACAATTTTAGAGAGTGTTATAAAAAAAATGGTGGAAAATAGACTTAGATGATTTGGGCATGTAGAGAGAAAACCTGTACATTCTATGGTAAAGAGAGTAGATCAGATGGAAATAAGGCAGACAACTAGAGGTAGAAAAAGACCTAGACAAACTATAAGAGAAGTTATTAAGAAAGATCTTGAGATTAACGATTTAGATAGAAGTATAATCCTAGATAAAACTTTATAGCAGGAGTTGATCTATGTAGCCGATCCCATCTAGTAGGATAAGGTTTGGTTGTACCAGAGAAGCACCATAATTTTTACATATTCTTTTTAGCTCAAGGACTCTTCAATTGATACAATACCTACAGATGTTCTTTGGAAGTCATGGCTTCGACTATTATTTTGGCTTCTTCTGTAGTCTTGGTATTCATAGCACCTCTAGGTGAAGTGTCTAACATTGTCTTTGAACCTGGTCACAGCCCACTCATTACAAAAGATTTGTATATGTTATAATGTTAGAGATTCTCAAAATCATGATCAGACACTGTTCTGATTGAACAATAAAATTATGCAAGAAAGGAAGATGATCTCACAATAGTAGTGGATTGCTAGAAGAAAGACTCCCCAAATGGTGGTGGACGGCCAGAGTCCATGGCAGAAGTGACTCCTGTTGGTGATGATATACCTGCACGCATGCATTGCTCAAGCCAGTAGATGATTAAGGTGTGAGTGAGAGGCCAAGAACGAGTCCGTAACTTGAGTGATGATCACGAGACTTCTGAAATGTAACTGTTTCTGTTGTGAAAGAGGTGATATCGGACTTGAGCCAACTCAAAAGTCAATTCCGACAATATTGTCAAATATCAGTCATGGCAGAGTGTGGTGGTGAATTTTTTGGCAACCGCCATGGCCAATTTGTGAAGGATGGCAGCACCAGAGTTTATGGCGGCGCCATATGGAGGATTTCTTACTTTCTGCCGTTGCCCGTGATCCGACATTGATAACGCTACACGCTGGAACATGCACCTACCCTTGAACATCTCCCAAGCTTTATTGCTGAAAACTAATAATGTCTCCCCTTCTTTTAACGAATATTTTCTAATAAGCATGTTCTCCTAATCGTCTCCACAAGCATTGAAACCAACCCTTAGCCCCGTCTCTCAAAGAAAATGGAGATAGCCTCATCTCTTTTGTACCTTCAGTCGTGCCACTATTCTTCTAAGATTCTAATGTATTTGAATCTTTGGCCTTGCTACACTAGTGAATTGAATCTATTTCAACACAGAGATGTGCTACATAGATCTCGATACTGTTGAAAACCACTGGTTGATTAGAAATTGGTAACCTCTTACTACTTTTGTTGTTGTTGCCTAAAATGTGTTACAACCTTAGCCTAACCTAAATGCGAATGCAACAGTCAAAATTTTGTCGCCTCATACATGAGAGCAAATGCATAATTGTGGCCTAAGCAAATAGTAAAATAGTTAAATGAATATTATCTTAATCTTATAATGGTAGTACATGCTTACAAAATTGTTGTGTAAAGTATAAGCAACCCTTAAATAAGTGTAGCTTAATTTATATGCAAGACTTAATTAATCATTGTCCGAAATTTACAACTATCGTTCACTCCATCTACCATATCAAGTTGTTTGTATTACTAAAAGAATTGTGAACAATAAAAAAATAATTTAGCCAAAGCTAAAAACACAGCTTATAAGGAAAAATACCTCAGAAAGTCACATTTTGGCTTTGTATTGTATTGTTGATTTCAATCACCACTTTTGTAAATGTGTTCTAAAGTTGTATAGCGCTAATATAAATAACCATGGATCAAACATGTGGTGGAGGAGGTGAAAATATTGAGTTGGATTTGGTTGAAAATCAAGTCAATTATTCAATATGTAGCCCAGTGAAAAAACGGGAGCCCGCATGCTTTTGTTTAACAAATTAACTATTTTTTCAATAAATTAGTCAAAAAATAAAAAAACTGTTCACATTTTTGTTACTTACAAATAATTTAGATCAACAATGAAGACAGAAAAACAAATCAAGGGGGTATTTTGCTCTCATAAAGATAAGAAGATTTGCCGTTGATACGTGGGATATGTTAACCCCTTTCTATGAATGCTTGTTTTCTATCATATGCTATAGTCTCCCCTTCATGAAAAATTGAGAAAATTATGACATTTATACTATTTTTATTATAAACTTCATCTTATTCTTCTTTATCTATCTTATTTTTGTTTGGATTAATTTGGAAAACATTTGAGCTTTTTTTAGTTCATCTAAGTTTGTTGGATATTTGATGAACTTTCATCATTTCTAATCTACCTCTAAATGATCCTTTGATCATTCAAGGTACCTGAGATTGATGATAAGTTTGTCATAATGTATCTTCCTTAACTTTGTCTTGATTCCACATGTTTATTAATTGTACTACATGTATAAGAGAATAAACTTCAAAGTGTTATTTCTCTAACATGTATGGGTACATACATTGTGTGCTCCATATGAAGTTACACTTATCTCAAATCAGATTATTAATTTTATATTGTACTAATTTTACTTTAATGTCATTTATATTTCTGCATTATATATTTTTCTCTCTTTACTTTTATGCCATTTATCATCTATAGCGTTTTATTTTCTTTACTTTATGTATTTTTTCTTTGCTCACTTGAGCTTCCCTTTTTTTGTGCTTGTTATAAGCCACTTAATAAAGAAAAAAAAACTTAAAATTGATTCTTTAATTCTTGGACTATGGTTACTATCCATTTTTATCTGATGCATGGTTCTTATTCGGTCTTCATCTGATTATTATCTTTGTGTTTGAATCCAAGGGAAAAGATTAATTCGTTGACTTCATGTCATCGAGTGTATCTTATATGATTGTGCGAATTTCTTCATCCATCTTTAAGTTTTGCTAATCTTAAGTTAGATCTCCAAAAATCTTATTTTTTAAACTTACACTCTTTTAAGCCAAAACCTCGACATTAGGTCGTTGAATTTTCAAAATCCCTTTAAACTAATATTTTAGCAAGCAACTAATTTTAATACGCAGATATAATAAGAAGTTCCTGTAGAGTAATACAAATGCATTGAATGCTAACACCTTCCATTTGTATAATCAATCCCCGAACTTTAGATCTCTCTATTGCACTTGTTTTTACTTCTTGCATTGTATATTTACTTATGGGTTTTATTTCGCTCTTTTCCCCTTGCCTTGGAAATGATAAACCACGATGACGACTCTTATTTACGAGTCAAGTTAATTAATTGCTTGATCTCCGATTTTTACCGCTACATAATTGGTGACTCTGCTGGAGATAAATTCTAAGAGGGTTATGCCTAACTTGTTATATCTGTGTTTATATTATTATTATTATTATTATTATTATTATTATTATTTGTTTGCTGTTTTATGTAGATTTGCTTGATTCTTTTGGTATTCGGTCATCTCTTATAAGTCCTATACCCGGACTTGGGCAAACTTAAGATTAGGATGAGCGGTATAGTCATGTTAACTTTGAGGGAGTAATCCCGAAAAAGGAGGCATGAGATCTCTCATCAACGGAGGCCCCTTTGACTGTAGTATTCATTTACCGAGTAATCAGGAAAATGTTGCTGCTTTCGACCTGTGAGCCCGAGAAGATGAGAGCTGTAGAACCCTTAACATATCTTGGCTTTTTAGATGTAGTGCAAAGACTATAATAGAGTAATCCGAAAGTAGTTGTCACATGATGTTGCACTCAGACGAGTTTTTCTTGAGAATATTGCTAATTACTGAGTACTCGGGAAGTTGGTAATATCCGAAGGAAGAATATGGACTCTGAGTATCTTTAGAACCTTGTTCTAAATGTACAAATAAACCCTTAGTACATACTTTGTGGGTGGTTCTTACCTTTGACTCCATGCTCGTGATGTCGAACCTTTGAACCTTGCTTGTGATATTGTTTGTGATCATTGCATAACCATACATTCATGCATCCATGAAACTCTTTTTCACTTGGTTTTCAAGGAATTTAGGGGTCTTTCTTTATAAACATCATAAGTTTCATCAAACTCAATGGATCTTGGGTGTTGATGGGGTGAAAATCCTAATCCACTAAAATGGATGATTGATTTTGATGATAACTTGATCAATGCTTTGATCCAATTTAGAATTTACTTTCCTCATGCTTTGATGTTTACAATCTTGAGTTCCTTGAAAGTCAAAATAAAAACCAATATTTTCATCCTTTTCATAATTCACGCATATATCTAGGTTGTCCAGGATCTCCTCTCCAACTGTCTCTTTCTTCTAGTTATCTGTCAACCGTCAAGATGTTTCCTCAACACAACTACCGGACTAGAGCTAACAACAAACGAAGAGTGGCAGACGAAGAACCATATGACATGGAAGTCAAAATGTAAATTGATGAGTTGAAGTCAGGCATGAATAAGCTCGCTGAGATGATGCAAGTTTTGATTGCTAGAGGAGAACCACCTCAGAGGACTGTCATATCCGAGGTTGAAATTGCTGTTGTTAATCCTCCAATAGTCCACTACATGGCCAGAGTTCGGTATTCCTCGAAACTATTTGCCACCTTTTGTCACAACTACAATGGTTGACCAATCAACCCGACCAGTGTTC